GGAAACACAAATCAAATAACAATGCCATACTACTTCACACCCACTGGGATGGCTATTAACAAAACAAAACAAAAAAGGAAAATAATAAATGTTGGCAAGCATATGGAGAAAATAGAATGCTCCTACATTGCTGTTGGGAATAAAAAATGATTAAGCTGCTGTGGAAAACAGTTTGGCAGTTCCTCAAATACTTGAGAATTACCATATGACCTAGCAATTCCACTCTTAGGTATAGGCCCCAGAGAACTGAAAAACAGGTATTCATACAAATGCTTGTGCATGAAATGTTCACAACAGTACTATTCACAATAGCCAAAAAGTAGAAAATATTTCTGTCTTCCTATGTCTATCAAGAAATGAATGAATCATTAAATTGTGGTATATACATATAATGGAATATTAACCAGTCATTAAAAAGAAAAGAATCACTGATACATGTTACAATGTGGATGAATCTCAAAAACATTGTGCTAAGTAAAAGAGGCTAGAAATAAGAAGTTACATATTGCATGATTCTATTTATACGATACATCTAGACAGGTAAATGTAGAGAAATGTAGACTGGTGACTGCCAGGGGCAGGAGGACAAATACAAAGTAAATACTTAATGGATACTGGATCTTATTTGGAGGATAATAAAAATGTTTTAGAACTAGATGAATGGTGTTTATACAACACTGTGAATGTACTAAATGCCAGTGGATTGCTCACTTTGAAATGGTTAATTTCATGTGAAGTGAATTTCACCTTAAAAGAAAAAGTAGGATAGGAAACAAAGATTAATCTAAAAGTTTAGTCTCTATCAGAGATTATAAACCATTATCCAGACTTGAAGCTGCCCTGTAGATGTTATTTTTTGCCAACATGGTGTCTAAACAGTTATCAGTATTTTAACAATCAGGCAACTCTTCAAAACATCTGGGCTGGGAATGGTGGTTCAAGTCCCAGCACTTTGGGAGGTAGAGGTGAGACTACTGCCTGAGCCCAGGAGTTCGAGACCAGCCTGGGCAACTTAGTGAGACTCGTCTCTACAATATATCAAAACAAGAACAAAAAAAACTACAGGCATGTGGTAGCACATGCCTGTAGTTCTGGCTACTTGAAAGGCTGAGGCACAAGGATTACCTGAGCCCAGTTGATCGCCCCTGGGGTGGCCGTGAGTGTGCCACTGCACTCCAGCCTAGGGGACAGAGTGAGACTCTGACTCAAAAAAAAAATAAAAATAAAAAAATTTTTAAAAATCTGGATTTCGGGGTTTTTTGAGGAAGTTTCCATATGATAAAATGTGGTTATTGCCACAAAGCAGCTGCTTCCTTGAAATGGAGCATTTCACTCCAGAGTTTACCAGTTTCTTCCACTTTCTATTGTCAATTATTATCATGCTTGTCTTACTTATTATTTTTAAAAGGAATTAAGAATAAAAGTGAGAAATGTTTTGTACTCCTGTTTCCATTAAAGTGGAAAAATAAAAAGTCCATTTGTTTACTCCTAGCCTGCTTTACTCATTTTCGCTTCCTTCTTTGAACCCATGGCTATTTCAGTTTGCAACTCCTGTTCTTTTTGGTATCATAAAAGATAGAATCCAAAAACTGTGCACAAATCTCAAACTAAGTTTATCAATAATACCTTGAATTTCAGATTCACCTTCTGAGACTTGGCTGCCTGAAACACGAGAGTTAGGCATGTGCAAATAAATAAATGTCCAAATAGTTTCGTTAATCAAGATTAAATAAGTTTGGATTGAAAGCAAAGCAAAATCCATTATTTGGTCACCTGGATGAATTTCCCCTACTATAGCACCAGTATTAAATGTGAATGGGGACTCATTAGTTCAAGTTTACTAATGGGGAAAACTGGGATTTGAAGATAAAACATTGGGTAACATTCTTATCTTGTGGGCATTTCTTTTTTTTAGAGGATATCATGCAGGTTCCTATGAAAAACACAGATGTAAGTAGGGGCAATCTGGTCATTTTTCCCCACAGAACCTTGGATTTTTTTCAGTAGCTCAGCCTTGGAGAGATATACCCAGAGGTTTTTGTTGCAGGGTGTGAGGTAAGGTGGAGAAGAAAGGAACATCATTCCCAAGAACTTGCTGCATGGAGTATAGTCCAGTAAACATTAAACAATCTATCTCATTTCATCACCAATAGGTGTTAGTCCCATTTCATAGAGGGCTGGAGAAGACAAGGACACAAAGAGAGGTGATGTGGGGGCTTCATCTACTTTTCTGTCCAAAATATGTTGTTGTTAGCCTCAAAGTTCTTTAAACCCTACCACTCATTTCCTCAGAGCACAATGTAGTCTCTAATAAGAGCTAAGACTTCTTATATGGGGCGAATAAGAAAGTTGGTTATGCCTGACAAGGGAAGAAGATGTTATACCTGGCGCTGCCTTCTCCCCTTCCTATGCTGATGTGGGAGGCCACCGGATCTACACAATTTGCCATGCTTCCTTCCCCGGAGGTACAGTACCTGCGCCAAATATACTAGGGACTGAGTTCTGTGAGGGTATCAGTTTTGGTTCATCCACCCTTGTATACAGACACCACATGCAGCACAGCAGCTGACACTTCACACATTTTATTAAATGAATTTTGTTATTACCCTAAGGAAACGGCAGAAAGCAGAAAGAAACCCATTTAGCCTGGTCACACAGAGAATGTGTGGTAACTCTGTGAACAGGTGTGAACAGGTATTCCATGGCTATATACTTTACTCTCAGTCCATCCATTAATGGCTATAAATGTGACATTAAAAATGAAATATAAATTAGAAAAGAAGGATAGTAGAAAGATCTGAAGTAAGAGACTTCTGAGAATAGCATCTGAGTATAAAGAGAATCCCTGATGACCGGGTTTGGTAACTCGTAAGACTATTATGCCAGGTTGCTGCCCAACTAAAATAGTAGTGACTGAATTCCTCTATTGGACCAAAAAGAAGAGAGACTGTGGAGTTTACTGCTACAGAAGAATTTTTAAAAAAAAAAAAAGCTTAGGAATTCATGGATATCTTTTTGTGGTACTATAATTAAAATTAAAAGTCCTATCAATACAAAGACCAGGACACGAAAAGATGCTGAAGATCTATTAAGTGGAAAACAACACAAGTCACTCTGACTTTGTTGTCTGCTTTTAAAAAGTTCCACAACTGCATATAATATAATTTGAATTGTTAACAGCAATTAACTCTTGGGGGCAAAAGTATGATAAAATTATGGAGCATTTACTTTCTCTTTAGATTATGGTGAAGGGCACTTTCCAAAGTTTATTTTTGTAAGGCTTGAATTTGCGTTAAAAATAAACATAAGCTGGGCACGGTGGCTCAAGCCTATAATCTCAGCACTTTGGGAGACGAGGTGAGGGGACTGCCTGAGCCCATGGGTTCGAGAACAGCCTGGGCCACTTAGCAAGACCTCATCTCTACAATAAATAAAAAAAATCAGCCAGGTGTGGTAGCGCGTACCTGTAGTTCCAGCTACTTGGAAGGCTGAGCAGAAAGCTCACCTGGACCCAGCAGGTTGACACTGGGGTGGCCGTGAGCATGTTGCCGCACTCCAGCCTGGGCGATGGAGTGAGACTCCAACTCAAAAAATAAATAAATAAACATGTATTACCATTGTAATTTTTTTAAAAGTAATATACAAGTAAAATGAAACTGAAATAATTTTGTCTCCTGAAAATACCTTTATCAAAAAAGAAGTGAAAGAGAAATAATATTTAGTAATCTAAAATAGTATTGTGAAACCACATTCTGTGGAATGTGAAGGTTCCTCAGATATTCTTTGAAAGCCAACACAAGACATACCCCCATCCAAACTCCTAAGCGTGCACATTGGACTTTCAATATTTTAATACCAAAGTTCTGTTGGAAGTTTGAAAATTTCTAACCTAAAATATATGTAATTAATTTATTTCTGAATGTTCCTCAAAGCACTGATGTTTGAGCAGTTTTTCCAGGAATAGAAATGTGCTCTTATGTTTTATGAGCACAAGATTTTGGTACCCAGCTTCTCTGAGTGCAAGGTCTGCTGCATTTATGAGCTGCCTGGGTTTAAGGCTTAGTGCTCTATGTATAGGCTCTTCTGTCCAAAAAGACCAAGGCAGCAGGAAGCCTTTTCAACATTTCCCGTCATCTGAACTGCCTCTCTGAATCATGGTCTGCCATTCAAAAGCAGAAGATTCAGGATCACCAGAGATTATTTTCAGGTGAATGAGAAGTCAAGCCTGAGCAACCAGAATTAGGTCAATTACTTTTTAAAGTAACTTTCTTGAAGAGGATGCTTTTCTTTGCAAAGTTATTCTTTCTTATCCCTAATCTTTTTTCAAATAGGATAAACTCTATAAATCCTTTTTGTTGTTTTTAGAGGTATTTCTGCTATGGTAACTTTAAGTATTTTTGGAGGTTACCTGTATTTCTCTAGCCTCATTTTTTAAGGGACAAATCTGACTCCAGAAAATATAAATGAAAGGTTTCAATATTTGAGCTAAAATGCCTACATCCTCTAAAGTTAAAAGAATGCTTTTGGAAATTTTAAGTTTTCTGCTTTGTTCCTCATTATCTGTAATGACAAATAAAAATCTTTGAAATGAAATCCTTTTTCTCTGTTTTGTTTATTCTTTCTGACTTTCACAATCATATCTTCATCTGGATTCTAACTGGGTCAAAACTAATACAGCGTTTTCTGTTTACAACCTCATCTGTGCTTCCTGACTGAAGGCAGCAGAGCCTCTCTGTGAATTTCTGATCAAAACCAGCAGGGGGAGCTCACTCACACAGGAATCTGAACCCATCTGCAAGAAGGTGGGAAAAGCAACCCAACTTTCTTCAGTAGGAATGGCCCTTTTGCACGTGGATGAATTATCACACGATAAGCAACAGGTTATTGACAATAGTGCTGAGATGAAGAGCCCTTGAGAAGATGTATTTAGAGACAGCCCAGCAGCCATATGCCTCAAAGGCAAGCCAACTGCTCAGAGCAGGTACATACTCTGCCTGTACCTGTTTTTCAAGGCTTGGCTTGCTAAGCTGTACAGTTTGAGGTCCAGCAAGTCTGGTCCCTGGAGTAGCTATCACAATGCTGGTGAGCTGGGCCATGGGGAACGTTTTGGCTATGGTTGCAGTCTGCCCATTGACGACACGGACGGGGTGGATGGAATTCTGGGATGTGGGAAGGGTTGTGGGGGTGAACTTGGTCAGCATGACGGGCCTCTGGATAAGTTGAGGAGCTGCAAGCATGGGAGGAGGTGCTGGGGCAATAGGAATGTTATTCTGGGCCACAGGCTTGGGTCGAACCTATAGGGGAAAGAGAGAATAATTATTGTATTACTTAAAGAAACTACTCAAGACCTCCAAGTGTAAAACACTACCAATCTTCCACATTAGATGTATGAAATGGTATTTTATACAAACATTGGTTAATGTTCATTTTGGTATTATTAGCTATATAGGTCTCAGATGTCTTATAAACTTATACAAGACTCATCAGCTCTCAAGATGGTCTAAATCCCATTCTGAAACACAGTACTTTTAATTCTAAACCCTCAGCTCCCTCTCATATACCATGCCATCTCTTTAGGCTGAAGTCAAAGGCCTAATCCAGAGATGGGTCCCACCCCAAACTTGTGCCCAGTATAATAATAATGTTGCCTGTGGCCTTACTTCACATTCTAAACTCTTCATATCCACATCTCCCCCATCTCTGGCCCTCCAACCCCCTGTTCTTGGTCACTCCTTCTCTCAGTCTCCTTTGTGGGTCTACTATACCTCTGCCAATCCTAAATGTTTTTCATAGGATTCTGTTCTGAAATCCCTTTTCTTCCCAATGTTCTCATTCTTCCTTTGGAGCTTTTGCCCATCCCACGGCTTCAGCTCCCTTCCACGTATTGAAGACTTTTACACTTTCAACTCATGACCAGAGACAATTCCTGAACTTCAGAATCATATTTAACTGCCCACTAGACATCTCTACTTAGATATTTCACAAGAAGTTCAAAATCGACATGTCTAAAACTCATCAATTTCTTCCTCCAACCCTCTCTTCCTCTTGTAATTGCCTCAGTAAATGGCCTTTAAAACAAACAAAAAGACACAGAATCATTCCTGACACTTCCTACTATACCTCTACTCCCCTCAATACTTCTCAAATCTATTTTTTTCTATTTGCAATCCCACTGTACTAGCTTATGTTTGGCTTACTGAAATAGTGGTAAAAAAATTTTTTTTAATTTTCATTTATTTTAAAGATGTGGGGTACAATTCAGGGTTAGGTATACAGATGTTCATTATGCAGGTACCCTTGTTGAGGAGGTGTGCCTCCCTCTCCCCCAGCAGATTCCCACTATAAGAAAAGGATTGACAGTAGCAGGAAACTACCGGGGGGTGGGGGCAGGCGAGACTGGCAGTAGTAGTGGTAAGATTGTGGTTAAAAACATATTCAAGTCAACCTTGCCTGGGTTCAAATCCTGGTTCTACCACTCACTAGCTGTGTAACCTCAAGGCAACATACCTGATCTCCTTAAGCCAAAATTTCAAGGTTTTAAAATTGTGACTCTTTGGACAAAATCCTTTCCTCTGTTCTTCTGGAAACCTTACAAGGGTGAGAATGCCAACTATGCTACCAGGCAACATTGCTTATGATAAAAATGACCACTTACTGCTAAATCGAATCTGGATGGGGAGAACTATAAATATTGATGAGACATCATGCTTTAGGCTTCCCTAACTAGGATGACTTGTGTAACTTGGGCATGTCCACTATGGGGGCCTTGAAAATCATGCTGGCTATCCCACTGTCCTAGATAAATATCTCATCTCTTTGCATCTGAGCTATCCCTGGACAGCTATATGGACTTCTGTAGTGACACCTACTAAAGAAAAATGTCTGATGATACCTTCCTGACAAGCTGTAGTTTCTGTCCTGTACTGACTGGTGCCAAGTGTGGCCCATGAAAGGTCTGAATGACCCATGGTGGTCTGAATACTTAGCTGAACTTAAACAACTCTGTTGTAAGGTGCTACTTATTCATAATAGGAAATACATTTTACATTGTAATCAGTATGTACATATAGACATATTTTTGTATCTCTATAAAACAAAAACTTTATTAAGTAGAATACTAGGGGGACCTCCAAAAACCGGAATTTATTTGTAAAAAGTTGTATGTTTATTCTTACAGGCTTATACTTCAGTTACCTTTAAAGTGCTCTCCGTTTGATGCAATACACCTATCAAGATGCTTTTTCCACTGCTTGAAACAGTTTTTGAGTTTGTCAATTTTGATGCCTTTTAGTGCTTCTGCTGTTTTTTGTTTCCATATCGGTAAAATGTTTCCCTTTGAAGACTTTTTTCATCCAGCGAAACAAAGAAGTCCCAAGAGGCGAGACTGGATGAATAGGAGGGATGGGGCATGGCGTCATGCCATCTTTGGTCAGAAACTACTGAACATTCAGCACGGTGTGGGCAGGTACGCTCGTAAATCACCCATCACGAAATGGGCAAACACGTTGAAAGAATCTCAAAAAAAAAAATTCACTGAAGCAGAATACAACAACGCTAGGTGGTACACTGATGCCAATGGGTTCCTAGCTGATGCCATTTACCTAGCAGGGAAGGCTGGTACTACAAGAGGCCTGCCTCCCAAAAAATAATTCCGGGTGTTTTTGGGTCCCCCTCGTATATGCTGTGCACTCTAATATTTCCTATTCTGTTCTATTCATTTTATTTGAACACTCTGGTTACAATCTTCTAAATTGATTGTATAGCCCACAAATGGGTCATGACTCACTGTTTGAAAAACATAAACTAAACTTCGCATTCCTTATCCTAAAAAGAGCAATAACTACTTTTCATAGTGTTGTTGTGAGGATTAAAACAGACACCTCATGTAAAGTACCTAGATCAGTACCTAGTATGTGTCAAGATTCCCTAAACATTAGCTATTATCATTATTGAGAATGTCCTAACTGTACTTCCCGCCCAGTTTTGACTGTCTCCAAATTATTCTCTGCACAATGATTTTCTAAAACATAAATCTGATCACATCAAGTACTTTCTTGAAAATGCCTTAATGAATTCTCACAGATCCTACAAGGCTCTGGTCACTATGGCCGTCTCCAGCTTCATCTCTAACCTGCCTGCATCAGTCACACAGGCCTCTGTGCTCAGCCACAGCAAATGCCCTTTGGTTCTTTAAACTTACATGCATATCTCCATCCTAGATGTGCATATGTGTTTTGCCCTCTACCTGGGACATTTTTATTTTTCCTCCAAAAATTTGTCAGGCTAACTCTACTAGGATTTTAGATCAGACTGAATGTCAACTCTTCAAAAAAAAAAAAAAACCTTGAAGAAACCTTCCCTAATACGCTTAAAAATGGGCAGGTGTCCCTCTCGAGTGTTCTTAGACTACCCTATACTTCCCTTCCCACAATGGGCAATGTAATCAGCTGTGTATGTGTCTAAAGCACTCCGAGGACAGAGAACTATCTTGAAAACTGGCATACCCATAATGCTCAATACAATATTTGCTACCCAAGGTATTTGTTAAGGATTTATCTGATAGATAACTGAAATCATCTTATCTCATGTTAGCACTGTTCATCCCCTCCCCAGAGGCTATCTGGAAATCATTTATGCCATTAAACCCAAAATTTCTTCCTCTTCTCTCTTTGCCTGAACTCAGGGCATCAGATAGGAACTCTTAGCATTTCTACTTAACAAGTCAACACTGCTTAAGGTCTAGACTGAGGTATTCTTGACATTCTGCCTTGAGAATGGTGAGGGTCAGCCTAATTGCTGAAGAACAATCTCAGAGCATGGGCAAGCAGAGATGCTGGGGCCTCGGTAGAGAGTGCCCTTTACAGAGCCCCTAGCCTAAGGCTTTATAAGCAAGGCTTTGCATTAAGCATAATGCTCATTATAGTCCAGAGCAGAACTAAATGGCTTCTACTGGTTGGCTTAGCTGCTATTTCCTTCCCTACTCTTTTTTGGCATATAGGAAACAAATAAAAAGCACTAAATGCATTCTTTCCCCACTGCGAGGCAAGTTTTGGCTAAATTCTTCCAGTAAGTTAACATTATAAGGCTTATAATGGTGTTCTTTTAAATAGTTTACATTCAGGAAATTTTCCTTTTACTTCACTTCCCCTTGCTACTGCCTTTGGTCATTGTTAGTAAATTATGATGATAAAATAACCTTCTAAAATAATAAAATAAAATAAGCTTCTTCATAGTACAGAGATCAGCAGTCAGAATTTTTAGCTAAATGGGATGTAAATACAGCTGAGTTGACAAGCCCCATTACAGGCTGCTTAGAAAGAGCCATGAGGATTTTTGTTCCATCTAACCCATCACTGGGCTTTTCACTGGTTTACTCACCTGTGGAAGGAAGTTTGGACGTGGAGTGAGTCTAGGAGGGGGAATAAACTGTGGTACTTTGATGGGCTGAGGAGGTGTTGCTTGAACCTGCTAAAAAACGGGGAAGATAAATAAGCCAGGGAGAACAATCATTGTTCAATATCAAAGCTATATTTTTAGCATCACTATTCTTTGAATCAGACAATAATTTCTACAAGCTCTCACTGTGGTGTTACTGAGTTAACACTGCATTAGGAAACTTTTTTACTCTCCCACTCGCATGCTTGACCCTATAAAGTAAACCAGGGACACTTCTGTTTCCCCATACACCTAATGTAGGACACTTCCTTTGATACTTAAGAACTTTTGCATTTACATATTTTAAAAGTCAAGACTGGATTCAAAGTAAAATCAAACTTGTTGCCTAGCCAAATGGGCTTTTTCCTGATATGAGACCTTTATCTAACAGCAAACTGCTTTATTCTTATAGAGAATGCGCTAATTCTCAGCATCTGGCTGAGATTCAGTTGCTTCTCTACGGATTCCTGGGTAACTGGTGAAGCTTCCCTCTATTGTTCTCTAGTTCCACTCATCATTGGACACTCAAAAGCCACCAAGAACTCTTAGATACCATTTTAAGAAGGGAACTTGAGACCAAATTTTGGGTATATTTTCCCCAAGCTTCTGAGAACATCAGTTTTCTTGATCCTAGAAGTCTCATGAACAATTTTTGTTCCTCCTTTAAGGTACTTTTTTTTCTGATAGAACTTGGATACTGACATTTTTAATTTGTAAGTTTCTTGAATATTTTAAAAGTGCTCCAACTAACTCCAATACTTCCTGGGTGCAATCAATTTAAAGGGACAGTGAACTAAAAGAATTATCAGGGAGTTTTCCCCAAAGCAGTAATATAGCACAAGAGAGTTTAAGCATTCAAGTTTCACAGGAAAAGCTGTGGAGAAGATGGAGGGAGAGAGAAATAAAACAGTGTGTATATGCCTCTTGCCCCAAAGCAAGTCATACTTTGAACTCAAATAACGCACTGAATTTGGTCCTTATTGTCTGAACACCTCTGTAATTATTTGAACAGACAGTAGAAATGCCATATTCCCTTGTCAGCCCTGAAGGGGAATTTGGTATGCTAGATAATGGAAACTAAGAAATCCAGCAAGAGCCTAAAATGCATATCCTATACTCTCTCATGTGGGCACACACGAGTAGCAGCTGCTGGCTTACCAGAGTGACTGTGTTTTTTGCCACAATTTGGACAGCCTCTGTCCCAGGCCCAGTGACCTTACTAGAAGTCTGGAGGTTGACTGGTGTGTTCTGCACATCAGTGCTGAGCACAGCCTTCTGACTGTTGATGGCGGTCACCATAGCAATGGTAGGTCTCTGGCCCACAACAGAGGCAGGCATGGTCGCAGTTGCTGCTTTCAAGACGAGAGGTAGTGTCTTTGTGGTAATCATAGAAGCTGTAGTTACAGTCTTCTAGGAGACATGGAGAACAGATATTAGGACACTAAATCTAAACTAAACAATAAACTAAATCCTACTAAACCACATGCTGCTAAATCCCAAAAGAAAACAAAATAATAATTCGTATAATCAATCAGGTTTCTCTGTATAAAACATTTATTTTGTGTATATACAGCACACTTTTCCTTCCTATAGGGAAAGGCAATCTCTAGTTTGTGAAAGTTCTCAAATTAGCATCACTCGTATATAGGCAGGTTCATAGTAATAACTGCACACTAATACGGGCACAGGATTTTCAACAATGAATGGGGTGAATTTACAGATACAGAATATGAATGTACTTATTTCTAGTTGCTCTCAATTAATTTAAACTTTGTACAAGTTGAAAAGGGACATATCATCTCTATCCTTAGTTGCTACAACCTCACCAATATAAAGAAAATCATCATATAATTCTGGATATCTGCCTCCTGCGACAAAAAAGCTGATGCCCAAAAACAACTGTCTTTTCAGCCTGGAGAGGAGAAAGGAACTCACATGAGGATTAGCAGTTACCTCCTCAGAGGCCTAAATCCCAAGCTCCAGATAATGAAACATATTAATGAACTGGTATAGTAAATACCAGTTCTTGGCACCACAGGGATATGAATTACTACCTATAATCTTTACTCTGGAGAACTGCTACAGAAGTAATCAAAGATGCAGTGAAATGTGACAAGGTGGATGCAAACATTTGAGTTTCAAAAAGCCTTAGAGATCCGAGGAGGAGCTGAGGTGAGAGGACCTGGCTGATGCTCTCCACAAGTGCTATTGCAGCTTTGGAGCTGTACTTTTCTAGGCTTTTTACTAGAATAATTAAAGGAGCCAGTTATAAAATAAGAAAATATAAACAAACCACTTGTGTGGCACACACATTTAACTGGTGCTGCTGGTCACTTAAGATACAGACATTTCAGGAATATGACATTTTATCTGGTCTATGTTATTGGTTCTGATTTTTATACTAGTCCCCTTTTTTCTTCCTACTGTGTATTTTCACTGTCCAATTTGGCAGCCTCTAGCCACAAGTGGCTATTTAAAATTAAATTAATTAGGACAAAATAAAATTAAAAAACCAGCTCCTCAGTTACACTAGCTACGTTTCAAGTGTTCAAAAGCCTCACGTGGTTGTGGTTACCAAACTGGACAGTGGAAATAGACAGCATTGCCAACACTGCATAAAGTCCCACTGGACAACTCTGTGCTAAACCAGTAAAAGTCATACCATTCTTCTGGACAGATCTGGATGGCTTCTCTTATGAACTTCTATTTCAGTGTCTATGAAGTTCTACTTTTGTGTATTAAGTTGTTTGGCTCTAAGTTGTTATTACCATCTTCTGCCTTATGTAAATACATATCTAATATTTTTTTTAACATAATCTTATTTTTTTAATGGTCAAAATATTTGAATGGACAATTTACCAGAGAAGATATGTGAATGGCAATAAGTCTATGAAAAAGATGCTCCATGTCATTAATCATCAGGAAATTGCATATTAAAAACACAGTAAGATTTGATCACAGGCAACAAAAGCACATAATAAGATACCACTCTACACCTATCACAAGAGCTAAAATTTGAAAGTCAGACCATACCAAATGCTGGCGAGGATTTAGAGCAACTAGAACTCTCATAATTATTCATCAGAATACAAAATAATACAAAATGGGGGTTTCTTACGAAGTGAAATATTTATGTACCATATAATCCAGTAATCTCACATATAAGTATTTACTCAGTAAAAATTTCAATACCTATATGTCCACACCTGCACGTGAATGTGTATAGCAATTTCATTCGTTATAGTAAAAACAGGAAATGGGCCAAATGTCCACCAACAAGTAAATGTTTAAACAAATTGTATAATAGCTATACAATGAAATACTACTCCATAATAAAAACAAAGTAGCAACTGATACCTAAAACCACACGGATGAATCTCAAGATCATAATGCTAAGTGAAAGAAACCAGACACAAAAGACTATGTGCTATACAATATCTTTTACATTACTTTTTTTTTTTTTTAAACCTGATTTTTTTTTTTTAATCATTATTTTTTACTATGGTTTTGTGGGGTACAGTTAAGGGTTAGGTATACAATTACATTTCATTCAGGCACCCTGTTGATAAGAGGCGTTTCCCCATCCTCAGACAGATATTCGCTACTGTTAATCCCATCCTCCTCTCCCCCATAGTTTCCCAGTATCATCAATCATTTTCTTATAGTATTACATTGGATGTTCAAGGTCCATTATATGAGTGAGAACATGTGATACTCGGATCTTTGTTTCTGTGAGAGGTCACTCAGTATTATAGACTCTAGTTCCATCCAGGTTGCTGCGAAATTCATGATTTTGTTCTTTTTTATGGCTGCGTAGTATTCCATCGTGTATATGTACCACATTTTTTAAATTCAGTCCTCTTTTGATGGGCAGCATGGTTGTTTCCAGGTTCTTGCTACTGTGAACAACACTGCGATAAACATACATGAGCAGGTATCTTTTGAGTTCTTTAGGGTATATTCCCAGTAGGGGGATTGCAGGGTCATATGGGAGGTTGATATTTAGAGCTTTTAGGAATCGCCACACTGCTTTCCACAGAGGTTGCACTAGTTTACACTCCTACCAACAGTGTAGAAGTGTTCCCTTTTCGCCACACCCTCTCCAGCAGCTGTTATTTTTTGAGTTGTTGATAATTGCCATTCTGACTGGAGTTAGGTGGTATCTCAGTGTGGTTTTGATTTGCATCTCCCTGATGATTAGTGAGGCTGAACATTTTTTCATGTGTCTGTTGGCTGCTCGGATGTCTTCCTTTGAGAAGTGTCTGTTCATATCTTTTGCCCATTTTATAATGGGGTTGTTTGTTTTTTTCTTTTCAGCACGTTTTAGTTCCTTATAGATCCAGGATGTTAAGCCTTTGTCAGACCAGGTGTTGGCAAGTATTTTTTCCCAGTCTGTAGGCTGTCTCCCTGCTCTCTTGATGGTTTCTTGCAGAAGCTTGTCAGTTTAATAAGGTCCCACTTGTCTATCTTCTCTCTTATGACCTGTGGGTTTCAGGTTTTGTTCAGGAATTGGATGCCAGTTCCGATTTCCATGAGGGTATTTCCTTCATTTTCTAAGGTTCTTATGGTTTGAGGTTTTACATTTAGGTCTGTGATCCATTTGGAGTTAACCTTTGTGCATGGGGATAGATAGGGGTCCTGTTTCAATCTTCTGCATGTGGTCAGCCAGTTTTCCCAGCACCATTTACTGAATAGGTTCTCCTCTCCCGAGTGGTAGGTGGTGGAGGCCTTGTCGAAGATGAGTTAGTTGAGAAATTGAGGTTTTGCTTCTGGAATCTCAATTCTATTCCATTGATCTATATGCCTGTTCCTATACCAATACCAAGCTGTTTTGATGACTGTAGCTTTATAGTAAAGTTTGAAGTCTGGTGATGTGATACCACCTGCTTTGTTTTTTTTTGCTGAGGATTGTTCTGGCTATTCTTGGACGTTTGTGTTTCCATATGAAATCCTGTGTTGTCTTTTCTAGGTCTGAGAAGAATGTTGCTGGTAATTTGATGGGTATTGCACTGAATTTGTAGATTGCCTTAGGTAAGATGGACATCTTCACAATGTTGATTCTTCCAATCCACGAGCATAGGATATTTTTCCACTTGTTTGTGTCATCTTTGATTTCTTTGAGCAGTGTTTTGTAATTTTCATTGTAAAGGTCTTTCACATCTCTGGTTAGGAAGATGCCAAGGTATTTCATTTTTTTGGTGGCTATTGTGAATGGAATTGTGTTTTTTATTTGGGTTTCTATTTGTTTATTATTGGTGTAGAGAAATGCGATTGTCTTTTGTACATTTATTTTGTATCCTGAGACTTTGCCAAAGGCTTTATCAGTGTAAGGAGGTTTTTGACAGATTCTCTTGGGTTTTCAAGGTACACAATCATATCATTTGCAAAGAGAGATAACTTGACCTCCTCTTTTCCTATTTGGATACCCCTGATTGCCTTCTCTTCTCTGATTGCTCGAGCCAGGACTTCCAATACTATGTTGAACAGGAGGGGTGAGAGTGGGCATCCTTGTCTTGTTCCAGTTTTCAGGGGAAATGGTTCCAATTTTTGTCCATTTAGGAGTATGCTGGCTGTGGGCTTCTCGTAGATGGCTTTTACTATTTTGAGGTATGTTCCCCGTATGCCTAGATGTTCAAGGGTTTTTATCAAGAAGGGGTACTGGATTTTATCAAAAGCTTTTTCTGCATCTAATGATACAATCATGTGGTTTTTGTTTTGACATCTGTTGATGTATTTAATTACATTTATGGTTTTACGAATGTTGAACCAGCCTTGCATCCCAGGAATGAAGCCTACTTGGTCATGGTGGATGATTTTTGAGATGTATTGCTGAATTCGGTTTGCTAGGATCTTGTTGAGAATTTTAGCATCTATGTTCATCAAAGATATTGGCCTGTAGTTGTCTTTCTTTGTTGGATCTTTACCTGGCTTGGGTATCAATGTGATGTTGGCTTCGTAAAATGATTTGGGGAGAATTCCATCTTTTTCAATCGCCTGAAATACCTTCAGTAGGACTGGTATCAGCTCCTCCTTAAATGTCTTGTAGAATTCTGCTGGAAAGCCATCTGGACCAGGGCTTTTTTTGTAGGTAGTTTTCTTATTATGTAGTCAATTTCCTTGATTGTTATTGGTCTATTTAGGGTCTCAATTTCTTCTTGTTCCAATCTAGGTAGGTTGTGTGATGTCAGAAAGTCCTCCATTTCCTTAAGGTTTTCAAGTTTGTTTCCATACAAGTGTACATAGTAGTCTCTAATGATCTTTTGTATTTCTTCAGGGTCAGATGTGACTTCATCTTCTGTGTTTCTGATTGTGCTTATTTGGTTTTTTTCTCGTTTTTTCTTGGTCATTCTAGCTAGGGGACCACCGATCTTGTTTATCCTTTCGAAGAACCAGCTTTTTGTTTCATTGAT